CAGTCATGAACAGGACCCACCGGGTTACTGAGAGGTGTGAGTAGCAGGGTCTGTGGTGCAGCAGCGGTTGTGGGCTACATGTATTATTGTATTAGTACTATAAACATACTCTTTATATTTTATTGTTGTCATGTTTATTGTTCTAAACCCCTGCTGGGGGTCCCTGTACCCTACATACCCCGTCCTACACATGAGCGTTTCCCTTTTCTTATGTTCTGGGAGAGACGTAAACGAGACTGCACTGCTGTAGTTTGTGTGTTTTAATGAAATGTAGTTCTATTTGTGAGATCACTTTCCCAATCTATCAATTATATGAACTGATGGACAGTTAGAAGGAGCATCTTTTAATAGAGAAGCAGCCAAACGTGAAAAGGTCTTTCAGTGTTGTTGTAGATCAGGCGGCTGTGGCTCAGGTGGTACACTGGGCTGTCCTCGAGTCGCCCACATGTTGAGGTGTCCTTGAGCAAGACACTGACCCCCACGTTGCTCCTGATGGCAGGCAGCACTCTGCATGGCAGCTCGCTGGCGTGTGAATGAAGCGCTGTAAAGCCCTGTGAGTAGCGCTGAGACAGACAGGAGGTATGTAGGTCCAGCACATTTACGTCATGTATGTTAGCAGCAGGTCGTTTCTCATCTGAGAGGCTAAACATGTTGTTCATCAGAATGTGAAGGTCATTCTAACAGTCATCAAGGTCACGTAATGCAGAATTTGAGTTTGCCCTGTTTGATGAAGCCGGATCCTGCTTGACTGGATAGAAGTGTTTTCATCAGTGAAGGATCAGGACTGTAAAGTGTTCAAACTGGAACAACACGTGTAGATAATTATACTATGCATTTATTTGAATAATTAGGATATCCAGAGTTGATGAGTTGTTCTGCATCAGTAACGGAGCAACCAGCATCACGACTGGTCCATCCAACCTGTATAATCCAGCTGGTCTATAAAACATCACGTGTGTTAGTGGAGATTAGCAGCAGAAATCATCACAGTGTTTACTAAAAAGGCAGCTTTAGGGTTAGCCTGGTGTGCATGATGACTGCATGCACTGAAACCACAGACAGCTCTGAAGAGTTGTATCCACCACACAACTAAACTAGAGAGCTGATGTGAACCAGCTGGGCTGTGGTTGGTTCACTGTGCTCCAATCAGATCCGATAATCCTGCAGTGAAACCGTAGAGTGTTCATGATGAGTGATGTCACGCCGCCTTCACTCCTCGCTGCCATGACTCATACAGACTGTAATAGATCTCAGTGATGTCGCCGCTGACGTCATGAGGCTCCATCCACATCTCTTCGTCCTTCACTCTGCTCGTCTTTATTAGTTTATGAGGCTGCTGTCGTCGAGGAGCAAACAGGAAGTAGATTCTGTCGAGGTCAATGCTGAGTCATGCTTGCTCAGCTGTTTGTCTCTTTAAGCCGAGTCCGGCCTGATGCATCCTGCAGCCTCCTGGTGCATCCTGGTGCATCCTG